GACACATGTCCAGCAGCATTGCATGAGTTTGGAGAGCTGCAGAAGCAAATGTGAGAGGCTTTTAGGATGATATGCTACATATCACCGATATGCCAGCGAAGACAGTTGTTTTGAATATGTACTATAACAAAGTAACTGTTTTTATATTAATATAAGTAATGTTGGTTTTTATACTTTGCAGTCAGATAATCTTTGTAGGTTATGCTAAATCTTAAAAAATGATTCCTTCCTATTATCGTTGCACTTGGGAGAGATGGGAAACAAAATTACGATTTACTTAAGCCTGTAACCGATGCGAAATCGTAAAATATTAACGCACAAACGTTTTCAGAACACCTTCTGTGTTCTTCCTCAGGTTTTCAAACTGGATTTTTTATATTCTGGAACATCGCTATGAAAGTACGTTTTTTATGATTTCGCATTGGTTACAGGCTTAAGTAAGTCGTAATTTTGTTTATACAACCCGGTGTGCTTGTAGGAGTTATTTAGAGATGGGAAAATTTATGTATTGCTTTGGAACTACCATGCAATTTACACACATTTCTTTTTTGAATGAGTTGGCTTTTTTCATGTAAACATTTCAGTGGAACTAATGCACCATATGATTATACTTATGAAATACTGGAAAGATCTCTTTTGTGCCTAGATAAATGTTAAACTATATAGAGTTAAAATTAACCCTGTATAGTTTAACATGTACAGTTAACTCTGAATAATTATTAATAAAATACGTGGTATTTGAATTTTACAAACTGATAAAATATTAATATTTCATTATTTAGTTTTATTAGTCATTGATCAATTACTTCCATTAAATTTGTTAAATTATGTTTCTTATTAACTTTCAAATTCATACATCAACATTACATAAATTCGGAATTTATTTGTTAATTTTTTTCTTAATAATTTATGAATAATGTACAAGTTTACATATTATATTGCTATATTAAAAACTATAATAAATCTGTTTATACTGGAATAAAATATAAACATTCAGCAGATATGATACATATATTTACTTAATCAAATTTATAAATTATAATATTTACAAATTTAACTGTGAAAATAATTGGTATTGAAATGTATCACTTCATTCTATTACATTTCAGTCAGCATTTTATAGGAGGAATTATATAATTAAAATAAAAATACTAAAAATATGAATTTTTGTTAAACTAATTATGTGACCAATTGAAAGACTAAGAAATAAATTCAGTCAATAAATAAAATTTGAAATTTTCATTTCATAAGAATGTTTGAAGAGGAATGATAAGAGGAAAACAATTCTTAATTTTATGAGTCTTTAACAGATTATGCATAACATGTTTAACAATAATGATAACATAGAAATTTATAAATACAGTAGAGCCTCGAAAACGTGGCACTCCGGATAACTCAGCCACACCCTGGCAGGGCAAAAAAATCCTTAGTTAATTAATTTTCATGATAAAGACAGCTTTATGCCTCATAAAGTATTTTTCTGAGGTCTGTCTTATCAGGTAAATTACTGTACAGTGTATTCATTAATTTTCATTTTCATGTAGTAAAGGCTCTATGCCTTCATAAAAGACGTACTTTTCCTTTGTTTAAGGGTATTTGGGCAGTTTATTCTCTGTTGTATTCTCAAGTAAACAATACATACAAGTACAGTACAGTATTTTCTGAGGAAACACTCATACTTATTTTTTTTAACCCCATTCCAGATAACCC